CACAGCTCCACATGCTCTGCAGCTCACCGTACTGCTGCCAGCTGCCCGTCACTGCACACGTGACCGTGACAATACCTGCAGGGACTGGTTAAAGGACAGGGCAGGAAGAGAGCAAAGTTTGAGCGTGGTTCTAAGGAAGTGTTACGGGCAGGGACATGGAGAACTTGAGTGCAGATAGAAGGAAGTATGCAGGGACGTATGCAGTGGGAGACAATGACATGGAGAAGTGGAAGGGAGTAGAGCACACGCATCACACAGCACGGGATTATCGGTTAACAATCGCTGCTGCTCCAGACGACCAGAGTCGGCCAGCAAGGAAGGTTTGAGTATGCACGGACAGAGGCCGGCAGGGCAACAGAGGGACAGCAGGACAGTGATGGGCAGGGCACACGGTAGGCCTACCGGGGGGAGGTCGGGGGGCAGAAGGTGGGAGTCGAACTGGGGGAGGGCGAGGTGCAGGGGGCGGGGGAGGAGGGGAGCAGGGAGCGGGGGGGAAGGGGGGAGGCGGGGAGGCGGGGGGGAGGGCGCCGGCAGTGAGGCGGGCGAGGAGGCCGACAGCGACGGCATTGGCGGCGGCTGAGGGCTCCGTGAAGGCCGGCTGCAGCCGCGAGTCCACAAAGCCATCGGTCTGGGGGGGCGGGGAACGGGGGGGAGCAGGGGGATGGCAGGGCATGGATGGGAAAGGCAAGTGCAGCCGTGAACCCAGAAAGCCATCGGTCTGGGGGAAGGGGAATGGGGAGGAGAAGGGGGAGGAGAAGGGGGATGGCAGGGCATGGATGGGAAAGGCAAGTGCAGGAAGCCATCGGTCTGTGGGGAGGGCAGGGCAGGGGCACACCCGGATGGATGGACGAGGAAGGAGGGTGAGGGGAAGAAGATGTGGATGACATTTTACAATCGGAGGGACAAGGAACGGGGGAGGGGGCCAGGGAGTGGATGGGAGATAAAAATGGTTGGAGGGATGGTTGGGCGTTGAGTCTAGATTCCCTCACAGCGCTGCCCCCCAAGCACACCCAGAACGCAAGCAGCAACGTGGATGCTTGTACGTTCCATCCAAGACCCCTCACAGGGTTGCCCCCACAAGAACAGGAAGAATGCAAGCACAGGTGAAGGTTCACTTCCAACGACTCACAGCATTGCCCCTCACTACCCTCCTCCCTTCAAGCAGGACTCACAGCGTTGCCCCTCCCTACCCCTCTCCCTTCAAACGACTCACAGCATTGCCCCTTCAAGCCCGACTCACAGCGTTGGGGCCGCCAAGGATGGCGCCGACGAGCACGTTGGGGTTGGGGGAGGCGCTCTGCAGGTAGGTGGTGTTGCCGCCCTGGCAGGTGACTGGCGTGGGGTCCACGTTGAATGACACAATGGACGCCGCCCGGTGGTGCACCTTCTCAGGGAAGGCCGTGCCAAAGCCGACCATGAAGGAGAGGGCGAGCGGATTGCTGCCCAACAGGTAGTCTACCTGGCAAGGTTTGAAGGGGGGGAGGTTTGAAGCAAGGGAGGCAGCGTTGGATTGGAGGGATGGGGAATGATTGTCATGCGTGTGCTGTTACCCCAGGGGCCAGCAATTACCCAATCGCCAGGCCAATGCAGTGCAAGGGGTATGCGGATGGAGGGATTCTGCTGGGAGAGTGCATGGGTCTGTGCACCCACCGCATGCGTGCCAAGTGAGCTGTGCACCCTCCTGCATGAGCATGCATGCAAGGAGTGGTGGCGGGCTGACCTGCGACTGGGCGAAGGCGGTGATTTGGGAGGGCGAGAAGGAGACGCCTTGGCAGTGGAGGGAGCGGGAGGCGGCAGCGAGGGAGTCGGCGAGCAGAGCGAGGAGGAAGACGGAGGAGAGGGCGAGCTGCGCGTTGCTGCCGCGCACATACAGCAGCCCGGCGGGCGTGGTGTAGACGGCTCGCAGGGGGTTGGCGGGCATGTGCGCACACGCATACAGCTCCGCCATGCCTGCATACCCCTCCACCACCCCCATTATCGCCGCACTCCCCTGGATGCTCGCTGGCAGCCCCGCCCACAACGCCTGGTGCCCGGGGGAAAGAGAGGAGCGGGAGGGAGGAGGGAGAATGGCGATGAGCAAGTTGGTTGAGCAAGTTGGTTGACGCTGGGTGCAGGTGCAGGAAGTCTGGAGGCATCAAGTACGGGTTCCTGGTCTCCTGGTTCCTTGACGCACGACTGGTTTCCTGCTCGCCACTCCCAGCACAGCAGCACTGACCTGCGCGAGCAGCACTGACCTGCGCGAGCAGCACTTGCGCGCCGGGCAGTTTTTGGTCCCAACTCATCTCCGTGTGCATCTGCTGCGTCCCCCCGATGGCCGCCTCGTTGCGTTGCACATACTCCAAATACCGCTTCAGCCCCGTCGCCCTGTACAGCCATGCTGCTGCCCACGCCAACTCGTCCTGCATGCAAGGCATGGGAAGGGGCAGGTAGGGTGGTGCGAGGAAAGAAATTATTTGGGGAATGTCACTGTTGGGAAGCAAGGAAACTGTGAGGCTGGAAGGCAACTGCTGTTGGAAGGTTCACCAATTGCAAAATGCTAACAAAAATCACACTACATGTTACACTACATTACAGGTTGAAGGAAAACACTAGTCATTCCAAGTGTATTTCTGAAGGAAAGGATCGACAGGGGCGTGCAAGCAGCAGCACCTTCAACCATGGTGTCAGGAAAAATGAGAGGCAGTTACTCATTTTTCCTGATACCATGGTTGAAGGTGCTGCTGCTTGCACGTCGATGTCGATCCTTTCCTTCAAAATTACACTTCGAATGGGTAATGTTTTCTTTCAACACCTGCATGCGGTGCACCGTTTTTAAGTGGCTGCAATTGTGGCTGTTTGAGGGTGTCTAGTTCATATGATACTAATCCTGTAGTGTAGACAATCATGCATGCTGTGCACTGCATGTCGCGTGCTTGCATGCTGCGTGCTGCATCTTGTGCACTGCATTCTGCGCACTGCATGCTGTGCATTACTCACCGTGTAGCCCGTGGAGGGGAAATTGAGCGCTGCCCCTGGAATGACAGTGCTGTATGCGCCGCGGTACTTGTCAGCAAACACGAACAACTGGTTTGGAGAATGGGGGGAGAGTAGAGTTGAGGGGGATGAGAGGCTGGACGAGAGTAAGGATGCATGCGGTGGGATGGCAGAGGAAGGGAGAGGAGGAACTAGAATGCTGCAGGCAGTTGGCGGGTGGAGGAAGGCTATGAGTGCACAAGGAAGGATGCAAAATCACGAACACCAAATCCGAATGGAACTTCTCCTTGGCAGTCCTGCCCCAGACCATTCTGACAAACAAAAGAGCGAAACCAATCTCCTGTACCTTGCGCAGTCTGGTAACCCAGTCCCGAGCCGAGACATGTCCGGACGTCAGCTGCCGATCTACATTCAACACGCATTTGAAACCCTGCCTTTACCACATCACAAGCCATAGCGGCCATGGAACATCCAGCCCCCTTAACCGACCTGCTGTGCGTGGGCAAGGCAGGAGGCGGCGTAGGAGGCGTTGACGTCTCGGAAGGCGAGGGAGGCGGCGGCGAGGGCGGCGGCGGATTCAGCGGCGAGGTCGGATCCGGGGCGGGTGGCATTGAGGCGGTATGCCGTGCGCGATGTGCCCATGTCCTCCGGCCGCTGCCAGCACGCCCCGTCCGTCACCGCGTCTCCCACCTGCCACCACGCACCGCACCCAAACAAACCAGTGGGCACGTGTGGACGAAGTACAAGGTTAGAGCTTACAAGCAGTTTCCCAAGTGGTTCAACCCCCGAGACGCATGAAAGAAGAATGCAGACGGTGCAGGCAAGAGCGGCTGCCTAACCTTGGCAAGCTATATGCTCAAAAATGGTATTGCCACACCTCTCCCTTCTCCCCCCGCACTTCCCCCTTCTCCGAACGCACTCCTCCCTTTCACCGCCCACCTGCGTCCACACCTCACCCCTCCCATCACCTGCGCCCAGACCCCACCCTGTCCCCCCTCCCCACCACCTGTGCCCAGACCCCACCCTTCCCCCCCCCCCCACCACCTGCGGCCACCCCACACCCCCCTCTTCCCCCTTCACCTGCGCCCAGAGCTGCCCACCTGCGCCCATTCCCCCCCACCTGCGCCCAGAGCTCCTCGGGTTTGGTGTGCGCCTTGATGACGTAATCCGTGGCCCACTGCAGCGCGCCACGCGCAGCGGAGAGCTGCGCGGCGGCGCCCGCAGCGAGGATGTGGCGGCCGAAGTCGAGGAGGCTCCACGCGAGCATGGTGGCGGCGAACGCCCCCGGCAGCCCCGCCTTCACGTTGCTGCCGCCCTCGTAGTACCCCCCGCGCAGATCCACCTGCACGCACCGGGGGGGGGGAGAACGGGATGGGAAAGGGTTGAAGCTTTCAGTGCCATTCCCCCGCGCAGACCCACTGCGCACACGGCGAAGGGAAGGGGGAGGGGAGGGGAGAGGGCAGGACGAGGTGGGGAAGGGAATGAGAAAGGGTTCATGAGAGGGAATGGAGAGAGAAAGGAGAGCAACGAGGGAAGGTCTTTGTGAGATTTTGTCCTTTTCGTAGGCAGGCAGGCAGGCAGGCGGGCGGGCGGGCGGGCGGGCAGCACGAGGAGAGCACCATTGGGCCGTGCGGCGAAGGTACAGCGTGGTGGAGCGAAGATGGTGAGACTGGTGGTGCGTGGGAGCCATACGGGAGAGTTATAGAGGTATCCGCCACGTGGATCACGCTCACTAGTAGCTACGCCAGCCGTGGGTCGATACATACCCCTTGCGCGGTGCCGTCGGAAAGACCCGAGTCGCCGCGCCACGTGATGGTGGTGGGGATGGCGGCGCCCGTGAGCTGCCCGGACCGCTGCGCCTCGAAGAACAGAATCGCCTTCGCCATCGCGTCGCCATAGTCCACCGCCGCCGCGGCGACGGGCCGCACATGGCGCGAAGCGGCGTGGATTGATAGGAGGCACACGAGCAGACGCGCTGCGGCACGACGATGAGTGCCTGACCAGTGTATCATCGCGCCGCCCCGCATTCGGCGGGCGCGCTTTACGACCCGTTCGTACACGCCTAATAGTTGCTGCCTTTGTACCAGCAAGGCACGACAGTGTCTGGTGCGCGAACGGTCTGGTAAAACAGGGCTACGGCGCAGCGACGCACGGCGCGGCTGGCCGGGCGCGTCGTGGCGACTAGGGAGAAGGGCAGCGCCGTAGCTAAAAGAAAAGAAGAGATGTCACGCAGCGGAACAGAAGAAAGCTAAGCTAGAGAAGCCTAGCTGCAGGAAGTAGACGAGAGAGTTGAGAAGGATTAAGAAGATAGAAAAAAGATAAGACGATAAGATTAGGGAATATCCAAGGGTCCAGGATGATACGAGAAGATCTAGGGAAGGAGATTTATGCTAGGAGAAGACAGACGCGACTCGGATAGGAAAACCGTGTTGCTACGTCTCTGGCATAGCATCTTGGCATGGCGCCTCGGTGCTATGCACTCCTCCATCCTCGGTGTTCGGAGCTAGCTGGGCAACACCGTCTTTCCCTTTCAGAAATTCCCAGGGTTTACTCTGGCGAATTTATAACCTTATTTGTTGTTATGAGTTGTAAAAGAGAGTGCGCACGTAAACGAATAACGAGACTCTGATTGCAAGAACTGAGAATACAATGAAGGCATAGAGTATTACGGTATAGGAGCTAGCATAGCTAGGAGGGAACCTCGGACGAGCGAGGTTGGGTGCAGGTTTGGCGATGGGAAATGCCGAAGGCGACGCGAGGAGCCTCGGCAGCGTTGAAATCGGCCGAACGTGCAAAGTCCGAAAATCGGGGCTGTACGCGAAGCAGTCAACCCCGATAAGGAATTCGGAAAAAAATCCTTAAACTACCCCACCCCCCCCCCCCCCCCCCCCCCCCCCCCCCCCCCCAAAGAAAGGCGGTCAATATCCGAAACACGTCGGCGTGCCAAATAATCACGAACAAGTGGCGAGGCGTCCAGCGAGGCGGAGTGCACCCACGTGCCATCTTCACTAGTGCGATCAGTCCAACTGATGAGGAAATTGACATAGCGACTAGCTGCGTCGAGGCGAACCCGATGTGCCAGGATTTTCGAACAGTCAAGGATCGGCTCCGGGACAGGTCGGGCGGTTGGGGCAGCTTGTTGCCGCGCGATGTCGGTCGTGGCTGGCACGAATTTCCAAAGCAGGCTGACGTGGAAGGTGACATAAATGCGCTAGTCGTCGGGTAGCAACAGCTTCGCGGTGAAAGGTGCCCACCATCTTGATGATCTGGAATGGCCCACAAAATCGTGGCCGTAGTTTCGACGGGTCGGGCAGGTGCAGGTTCTTCGTGTCAAGGAGCACTAGTTGCCCAGCTGTCAAGACGAGTTCCCGGCATAGGAGGTCGGTGCATTTTCGGAAAGTCGTTTTTGCTTTGCGGATAGCATCCGCGGCCTTCTCGCAAATTTCCGGCAGCTCCGTCACAAATGTTTGTGACCGCGGGACGGGGTTGTCGAGTGTAGTCGTCGTAGGGACCGTCGGATCCATCCCGTAATTCAAGAAGAACGGGGAGTGATTAGTCGTACTGGACGGTGCGTTGTTAAACGCAAATTCCCGCATCGCGAGCGACTGTTCCCAGCGAGCCGGGTCGGGGCATTTTGTCCTGATGAAGTGCTCCATGGTCTGGTTGGTGCGCTCGGTCTGGCCGGCCGTCTGTGGGTGGTATGCCGAAGAAAACTGTAGCTTCGTGCCGTACTGTGCCAACGTCTCCTTCCAAAACTTGGGTGTGAACTTCGGATCTCGGTCGCTGATGATCGCCGAGGGAATCTCGTGTAGTCGCACGACCGTTGAGATGAAAAGACGCGCGGTATCTTCGGCTGTGATGGTTGTACGACACGGTGCGAAGTGCGCCATTTTCATTGGGCGGTCAATGACTACGAGAACAGCGTCGTTGCCGGACGGCCTAGCTGGCAGCCCCGTGACGAAATCCATCGTCACTTGTTGCCACGGTCGTTCGGGTGGCTCGAGTGGCTGCCGCAATCCAGCTGGCCGTTGGCGGGTCGACTTCATGGCTTGGCACACCCTGCATGAGGACACATTTCGCTGTACGTCGTTATAGGAGCCAGGCCAGTAATAGTGTCGGTGCAACAATTTCTGGGTTTTATCAACCCCGAAGTGTCAAGAGAAGTCTGAATCGTGGACCTCCTGGATGAGGAGTTCACGCAGCAGCCGGTAAGCGGGAACCCAAATCTGGTCAGTTTCGACTTTTAGGTAAAAAGCCCCCCTTCTGCGTCGTGGCCTGCTGGTGATTCCCCGTCGTGAAGAATGGGTACGTAGTGTAGCCGTGGGTAAATAGTCATGTAAGTAGCGGTTTCGAATGGTTGATAGTACTACAGCGGATTGTACTGTCGATCGGGTCAGGGCGTCGACAATGTTATTCACCCCTTTCTTGTAAAATGGCTCTCCATGTAATCCAGCCACCGAATCTATCGCGAGCTGAGGTTGGGCTGAGCTCGCAGGTACTGTAGGGACTTGTGGTCCGTGCGAACAGTGACGTCGGCGCCCACCAGGTAGCATCGCCATAATTTAAACGCATAAATGATGGCGAGCATCTTCTTGTCATGGATCGGGTAGTTGCGCTCGGCTGCCTGCAGCTTGCGTGACTCGTAGGCTATCGGCTGCAGTCCGTTTCCAAAATTCTGGAGTAGTACAGCTCCGATGGTGAAATCCGAGGTGTCGGTTACGACTTCGAACGGCTTCGATGGGTCGGCGATGCGCAGCACAGGAGGGAAAACTAGAAAATTTTTGAGTTCCTGGAAAGCCGCCTCTGCCTCCTCCCCCCACACGAAATTCTTGTCCTTGTGCAGCAGGTCGGTCAGCGGGCCGGTTATCCCCGCCATATTCGGGATAAACCGCCGGACATAATTCACGAACCCCAGAAAACTTTGAAGTTCCGTGACATTAGTCGGGGACTTCCACTCCTGTATGGCCTTGATTTTCGCCGGGTCGAGTTTAATGCCGTTGGGGAGATGACGTGGCCCAAAAACTCCAACTCCTGCTTAGCCCTTGGTGATGCGGCGATTCTCCTGCAACCGTTTAAACATTGCGTCAAGGTCGCGGAGATGCTGCTCCCGTGTCTTGCTAAGCATGAGGATATCGTCCAAGTACACGATAACACGTCGGTCTGGAAGGCCCCGAAAAACCATGTTCATGGTCAACTGAAATGTTGAAGGTGCGTTCGTGAGGCCGAAAGGCATTACCGTAAATTCGTAACTCCTGTAGCGTGTGTGAAACGCGGTCTTGTGACAGTCGTCGGCGAAGACTCGAATCTGGTGGTAACCGTCACGTAAGTCAATTTTCAAAATGTAGCGAGCGCCGCGAAGTTGGTCGAGGAGGTCGTCGGTGCGTGGGATTGGGTAGCGAGATTTGATGGTCACCCGGTTCAACGCGCGATAGTCGACGCACATGCGAAGCCCGCCATCCTTCTTCGGGGTGAACAGGATCGGTGCCGCGACCGAGGAGGTGCTTGGTCGAATGAATCCTTTCTCCAACAGTGCATCAATTTGTCTTCGCAGCTCCTCGAGTTCCGGCTGGGTCAACCGCCACTGTGTCCGAACAGTTGGTTGCGCGCCAGGTTCCAGCTGGATTTTGTGGTCTTCGGGTCTCTCGGGTGGCAGCCCAGGTGACAGATCATCGGGGAAAATGTTCGGATACCTCCGAATCAGCTCCTCTAAATCCGGCGGTAAAGCTGCACACAGCTTCTCGATGTCCTTTCCGTCAGTGTCAACCGCCAACTCGCGTAAACAAACAGCGAGCAGCTGCGCGCCCTTGTTGAAGTGGCGAGCTATAGTGATAGCTTTGACGCACGGGGCTTGGATGTAGTCAGCTGTCCATGCAGGCAGTTGAATTAGCCCGTCACGTTGGCTTCGATCCTGACCGTCCGTGTTTCTTCCGTTATCGCCAGAGGCGTCCCATCCACGAGGCGGGCGTCAATTTCGGGCAGTCACCTGTGAAGTTGCAGCTTGAATCTTTTTGCGTCCGCCAAGTTGAAGAGGCTATGGCTGGGTCCCCCATCGACGAACATTTTCAAATTATTTTTTAACACCTTGCCAGCGACCAGCACAGGGTGATCCACATGATTATCCCCGTTATTCGGCCGAGTGCGATCGATTGCATAAATCGAAACCACGACTCGATGGGGACGGTGGTGTTCGGGCGACGGAGCACAGTCAGTAAAGGGCCCGCTAATTACTGACTCTTCCCATTTCCCTGCTCCTTCCTGTCGTCCCCTGTCAGCGGCATTTTCTCCTGGCAGTCTTTCATGTAGTGACCCGTCTTCCCACACCAAAAACACCGTCCCTTAGGGGGGTTGAACTCTCCTCTTCCCCCTTCCTTCCTCCTCAGCTGCAGGGACTTGAAGGCCTTGGCGTTGCTGCGGTGTAGCTCGGTTCCGTGGAGCACTCGTAGTGCGGGAAGGGAGCGTCGGTGCACGCTCGCTCACTTGCTGCACCTCCTCCTCTTCTTCCTCTGCATCCTTGGCCTCCTCTCCCCCATTCACAAGGGAAGATTGCCTCGTGGTGGTGCTGCCGCTGCTCAGCTCCAAAGGCAGCTCCACATGCTCCAACCCGGAACTCTTCACCTCCCCAAACCGCACGCCTATCTTCGCCTCATTCTCCGCCTTCCAATCCTTGTACATGAAGTTCTCCATGAACTTGCAGTCCCTGCTCACCAAGAACTTCTTGGTGAATGGGTCTCGAAGATGCCACTCCTTGCTGTTTTGAGCCATGCCCAAGTGCAAGGCCCACACCACCTTGGCACCAAGCTTGTTGTGTCCTCAAGGACGTCCGTGCCAAGAGCACACTCACCCCCGACGGACGGAGGACAGACAGACTCAGACTCAGACTCAGCAACAAGGCTAGCAGCGTAGTCTAGACGACAGGCAGCAGCAAAGTCAACCAACTCAGCGACCAGAGCAGACGCAGCCGAGGACTCAAAGGTAGGGTCAGTGACAACAGTAGCAAGGAGACGCGTGACAGTAGGGTGCTCAGCAC